CTTTCCCAGTTTCCTTCTCTGCAGAAATGGGTCTCATGTTTCAGTGAAGCCTGTTTACTAAATGACTTGTAAAATAATAAATCACCGGTCTTAGTAACAATTTACTACTCTGTGGGAATACTTGCAATTGCTGCTATCACCATGAGACTGTTATCCATCTAGATTCTGAGCAGATGGCAGGTATTTACTGTGAGTGACCTTTTTTTTTTTTAATCACATATAGTAACTCTCCTGCAGCAATGGCATATGGTGCATATAGACCCTGAGGCCTGTACTGGATTGTTATTGACAACTGTTAGCCTGAACACAAAAAGTTGGTGAATTACTAGCAGAGACAGGTCAGTCTGAATTACCTGACTTGAAAACATAACTCACTGAAATTGCCTGCTAATTAGGGAACTACTACAAGAATATTGGTCTTGCTTAGCCGTTGGTTCAAGATTTAGAAATGTGCAAAATCTTACATTAGCAGAACAAAAATAAAACTAAGCTTTTAGTAAATGAAAATTTTTCATAACATGCTCAGTAATTTTTTTGTAAAAAAAAAAAAAAATCCAAACAGAAAAAACATTTTTTTACTCCCTCCCTTCCCCCACGCCCCCCCAAAAAATCATCCAATAAAATATGTCTCTTTCAAATGTTATGACAAAGTCATTTTGGAATTTCATTTTTTTCCCCATGAAAGTCAGTTTTCATTTTTTAACCCTCTCTCACACTATCAAGAGCACCAACATGCCACCTGAATCTGAAATAAAGCTCAGCATATAAGTGCTATATGGATGATATTTCATATCCCTAGAATAATTTATGTATTGGTGGTTGTAGTACAGGACCTATAAATATAGGCCACAGGATAGGTGTATGTCTCTGTCCCTTTTCATTGTAATTACCAGTGTAAATATACTCTTTGGAGGCTACTATGTGGAAATTGCCACTGCCAATGTTGTCTAATAGAATGTATGGAGAGTGACAGATAAATCAGAACAGTAGCAATAATGATAGATATAAAACCTCAAACACATGACTCATTGAATTGGTTTCATGACCAATTAGTCATGTTAGTCTGTAACTTTAAACATGTTACAGCCATATTAGCCTGTAACTTTAAAAACAGCAATTAGTTCTGTAGTACCTTAGGGCACGTCTAGACTAGGGATGTTAAATATTGCTTAATTGAATAGTCGAGTAACCTCGTGAATTCTTATCGGTTAGTTGACTATTCTATAGTCCCTGCGAGTGGGGTCGGCAGTAGCGTGGGGTGCCAGGTGGGAGCTAGTCTGTGAGGGGGAGCCAGTTTAAAAACCAGCTTCTCTTACAGACTTGCTGCTTGTCGCCCTGTGCTGCTGTCTCTGATAAAGAGGCATCAGTGTCGGGTGGCAGCAGCCCCTGTCTGGGGGGAGGGCTGAACTCCCAGACCTGGCGTGAACCGGAACTGAGCTGGGTTGCCTGGCCACCCAGCCCCTAATACACTTTAAATGCAGAGCCACAGCGCGGGTGGGTCCAGGACCCAGCATGAGCCAGAACTGAGCCTGGCTGCTAGCCAGCCTGCTAAAAAATTTACTGGTTGGGGTGGGAGGAATGCATGTAGTTTACAACATTAATGTATAAGGTTTCGCTTATTAGTTAATTGGTTAATTGACTACACTATAACATCCCTAGTCTAGACAGAACCCTTCTGTCAGAATAAGCTATGCAATTTGTGTTACGCAAATTGCATAGCTTATTCTGAGTCTAGGTCGAAAGAGCCTATATTGAAATTTGGCACTATGTAGACAGCGCCAAATTTCAAAATAAGGCACTATTCCAACAAATCCCTTAACTCTCATGGAATGAAGGTTACAGGGACACCGGAATAGGGCGCCCACTATTTCAGGAAATAGTAGGAGAGTTTAAAGATGCGGTGTTGCTATTTCGGGATACTTCTGGTATCCTGAAATAGTGCTGCAGTCTGGATGTACCGTTAGAGACTAGCCCAACAAAAAATACAACTGGTGTTATTGCTTTGGTCTAGGAAGGTTGTCAAGACATCCCTGGATATAATGGCTCTCAGCCTTGTTCCAATATTTTATCTCTCTGTTCAATGTATGTAAGGCCCTTCATTTCTCATCAAGATCTGAAAAGCAACATGACCAATATTTTCAGAAGTGCAAGCATAATCTGAGCACTTTTCAGATGCCAAAAATTCATGTCAATCAAAGTTGCACAAATGCAAAAGTGTGAACAGACTTTTGAAAATCTGCTCCATCATCAGTAGATATAAAACAGACAAGCTATTTTTTCCTTCAGCATGGAAATTATTAAACAGTCAGATCATTTTTATGACTTTACAGCCTACCACCGTCTGTACTCTTGTGTGTGAGGAAGCTCTACTGCATAATGGGACGGCTACCTGCAGCTCTTTCATCTTCATCTCAGACAAGAGTAAGTGCCTTTTGTCAGGTTCAAAATATAATTGTTCTAATATTTTGGTTGGGGTTTAGCTAACCTAACGTTTCCCATGACTCATTTCATCCATAAAGTCCATATTTGCTCAGCACTACCAGGTCCCTCATGATGTTTTGGAATATGCATCCAAAACCTTGAAAAAAATCAATAAAGCTCTTTTTACTGTTTTACGTTTTTATGGGTTTGCTTAGGGCCAGCTTAAACATTGTTGGCTGTTTTAGTAGAACATTTCACATCAGAATCTTTTATCAGTCAGTTTTGCCATTATCCAATCAACTGCATAACCTGATTGTATTATTCTTTACCCATCATTATCTGTTGTATTTTTTTTGTCATGCTATTATAAGTATAATCTACGGTATTCCCTGATGCTGCTAAATTGCTCATGCTTAGTGTCTATGCATATGAAGATTCCCTTTTAATCAAAAGGATTACCTACAGACATAAAGTTGAATATGTGTGTTTGTATGATCAGAAACTAAATTGTTAGACCTTCAGGAGAGAGGCTTTGGGCCTGAAACTTTTTTCATTTACACCTGTGTAAATCAGGAGTTACATCTTTAAAGTAAGCGGAGTTCCATCAGTGTGAAAGCAAGGTAAGTTAAATCTGAATCAAGTCTCATGATGGTTTTTTACACATGCTTGTGAAGCACTATGAACATCAATAATACTAAAGATATAGTACATGGCAATGATAACTAGATAAGAGATGGGCTTGAACTGAAACCCAAGAATCAAACACCTCTGAACTTTGCCAGAGCTAGAAATCTGAACTTGGGTCTAGGTCTATATTTTGTGCCCAGTCCCTCTAATTATAATGAGCTGGACAAAAACCATCAATTTGAAGAACTCTATACTTTGAGGCATCTAAAATACATACCTAAATTCTGCAGCTCAAGCTGGTCTTTAAAAACAACATAAAATTTAGCAAATTCTATGTTATATTATCCTGGAGAGGATATAGATCGATTATTATAGGCCAGTGAACCAGATAGGTGCTGGAACTAGAGGTGCAGAGGTACTTCAGCACATCCTGGCTTGAAATGGTTTCCATTATATACAAGGTTTACAGTTTGGTTCCATGGCTTTCAGCACCCCTACTGTACAAATTGTTCCAGCACCGCTATTGTACTGTGAGTGAAAGCCAAAATATAAATTTGAATTAACTGTTTTGTGCCCATTCTGTTGTCAGGGGTTCTCCCTCTGGGAAGTTTGTTAGACAAAAGTATGCATGAATATTTTATATACTCACAAAATATAGTTGGTGTAATTATCTCACTTTCCATCGCACTCACAGGATTAGTTGCCAAACAGCTGTAATTCCCAATGTCTTCTTTCATGACGGGGACAATTAAAACTGTGTCATTGTTTGAGGAAAAGGTGTAACTAGAACCGGCATACATAAGTTTCCCATTTTTCATCCACTGGTATCCTATCCTTGTACCTTTTCCAACAACACAGGTTAACGTCATGTTCCCCACATACTCCACTACCCCCGAAGAAGGTTCAATTTGTACAACTGGCTTTGTGACAGGAACTGTAAGGTAAATAGATATAAACAGTTGGAAACAAGACTTGCCATTTCTGTTAGGAGAATGTATCATTTAATGCCCATGTGATAATAACGGCATATGTCATCCTTTTAAGAAAGTATTTACATTTCAAATTTTATGCTGCTAAAAATTACAATCAAAGGGTCATGCAAATGGGCATACTTCCAGTGATTTTAATAGTGCTAGGATGACTGGAAACAAATATTGTATTTTAATTAGAATTAATCAAACTCATGCTGCATGCATTTTTCCCATTTTCTGTTCTTCTTTCTCTGTGTATGTATAACTCCCACCTGCATAAGTGGAAGCTAGATATGTAGAAGAACAGTTCCATATAAATATCTACCTATTCCCACCTGTATAAATGGAAGCTAGAGATGTAGAAGAACAGTTCCATATAAATATCTACCTATTGATCTAGGCGGGAAATATCTACCTATTGATCTGTGCCTTCCCTTAGGGCCAAACCTGCCCCACTAAACCTCATTATCTTCACTGTTGGGCTTTGGGCCACTTGCCTATCACCTTCCCCTATCATGGGTGGCAAAAGGGCCTCTGCAGGCCAATTAGGGCCTGAGGCGTGGGAAAGTGCACAAAGTTTCCTCCATCCTGCCAGGAGCACGTGGTGCTTAGAAGTGTCATGCGCTCCTGGCAGGACAGGAGGAAACTTTGCATGCTCCCCTACCCCCAAGCTCTGATTGGCCTGGGAGCAGAAAAGGGAGCATGGGAAGTCTCCTCCCACCACTAGGGGCATGGGTGCCTAGGGGGAACCTCTGGGGTGTGGTGGTAAAAACTTCATGTGCTCCCCCACTCTCAGACCAATCATGATGTATGGGTGGGGAAGCAGGGAAGTATCCTGGCCCTGGCCCTGCCCCTTCTGCTTGAGGCCCTGCTTCTTCCAGTGTGGCCTGGGGCCACTTCAAAAATTTCTGAATTTTGCGAGTGGCCCCGGGCCCTCACAAAAAATTATTGGCCACCCCTGATCTAGACAGCAGGAAATCCTAAGCAGGCAGCTGTCTCCAGAGTTTCCTTAAAAGCAGGTTTCCAGGTACAGAAAAAATGTCACACAAAAGTGAATGTAGCCTCAGGGTGAGTAAGGTTGGCAGATCTGAACATTATGAAAAACAGATTATTTCCTGAGGTCACTATAGTCCATTTAATTTCATAGTTATTATATGAGGCATACAAACCCAGCTTAATATACAGTACTGCTAGGATTAATAAGGCACCAACCAATAAACAAATTTTGTTGAATAATTAACTATTGCGGTTTTGAAAATAAGCATAACAAATCCTCAGTCAGTAGATTTATTCATGCACTATCAGACTGAATTACACAGAACTGTCACTGGATTCCAAGAGATTAGAAACTTCCCAAAAGTTGTAGTCTTATGTGCTGCATTAAAATACAATATTTTATTGACTTACCATCAACAGTAACTTGAATTTTTTGATTGGCTGATATTGTCCCATTTCCATGGACATTGACTTTTACAATGTAATTGCCTTCATCAGTAACATGTAATGGATTGATCATCAAAGACGCATTAGGCGGTACGAGGGTAAACTTATGCTTATATTCTAGGTCTGGTATTACTGACTGATTCACAGAGCCAAGTAAATATTTGGGGTTACTCTGAGGTTTTTCAAATAGCCATATTATCTGTATTTCAGAAGCTGTAGTGTTGAAATTGTAATCAACAGTAAGATGGAGAGGTTGTCCTTCAATGCCATGTATAGTTTGTGATGGTACTGTCAGTCTTAGCGCAGAACAAATACCTGCATAAAAATGTAAAGAAAACAAAACTGGGAACACTGGAAGTTCTAAATGGAAACTCTTATGCAGCTATGGTTGTTGTGTTGCATTCTCAAGATGGTCCTGATCCAAATCCTACTGATCCAAATACAAAGACTTAGTTGGAGTTTGATCAGATTTCATAGGCCTGATTTTCAAACCACTTTTTCTTTCTTACATAAAATAAAACTGATGTGCTTTAAATTAGACATGTCACTTCTCATCTCTAGGTAGGATATTTTTAAAAGTTTGACAAAACTAAAAAATGGAGTTCTAAGGTAATTGTTTTATAATCATTTCCTGTGTTGAAGATGTTCCAGCTATTTCTGAGACAAAGTGAGTGAGGTAGGACCAATTCATTGGACCAGTTTCTTTTGGTGATAGAAACAAGCTTTGGAGCTTAGGCAGAGTGCTTCTTCAGGTCAGCAAAACTAAGGGCAGGTGTACACTTAAAACGTAGCAGCAGCACTTATGCGAAGATGCTCCTAAGCCAATAAGAGAGAACTCTTCTGCTGACGTAATTAATTCACCTCTGTGAGAGATAGTAGCTGTCTCAATAACAGAAGTTCTACACAAGGATTTAAGTTTGATATAACTATTGCTCAGGGGTGTTGATTTTTTCATACCAGTATAAGTCTGTAGAGTAGGATTGGCCAAACTCAAAGTGTAATAGCTAAATACAAGATTTGAACAGATTGTTTCACATGAGTGGTTAGCACATATTTCAAGGGACAAATTCAAGGTAAAGTGCTTTCTTCCCATCAGTGGGAGGAAAGGAAGTGGTGAAGAGGGAATAACTGGGAAAGGTTGTTAGTGGGTTACAGATTGTTGTAATAAACCATAAAGCCAGAATCTCGATTCAGTCCATGATTTTTAGTGTCTAGCAAAGTTATGAATATAAACTCCCAACCTCATCTTTTCAAAGTCTTGTGTAGTTTTCATTTGATTATGAGGATTGAGAGGTCAGAGATAGAGTGACTGTTTTGTGAACAATGATGTGGTGTTTGTGTCTTTTATCCTTATCCTGTCTGAGTTCATATGAGAACATAGTAATTGTCTGGTTTCACCCACATAGTTGCTATTGAGGCAGTTAGTGCACTGGGTGAAATGTACCATATGTTGTGATAAGCATGAGTAGAACCCAGGGATCTTGAAAGGTATGTTGTGATAAGTGTTGATCATTGTAGCAGTGGAAATATGCCTGCAGGTTTTGCATCTGTGGTTCTGGCAGTGGCTGGTGCTGCTCTGAGTTGGTGTGCCCTGGATTGTGGAGAACTTGTTTCTGGAAATGGGGTTGGACAAATTGGAGGGTTGTTGGAAGACCAAAAGAGTTCAGGAAAGATTTATTTCAGGATGGGATTCTCATCAAGTATGAGTTGCAGTTATTTGGTGATAACCCAAATAGGTTCCAGTGTGGGCTGATAGGTAACAACTGGGGTGTGCAGTCAGAGGGGGCTTTATATCTGTGATGAAGCAAATTCTCTTAGGCTGTGTCCAGACTCAAGGGTTCTCACCTGCGTCTAGACTACAGCTGTGTTCTTTCGAAATTAAATCGAAAGAACGCGGCTTTTCTTTCGATGGCGGAAAACCTCATTTCACGAGGAAGAATGCCTTTTTTTGAAAGTGCTCTTTCGAAAAAAGGCGTTCTTGAATGCAAACAGGGCTTTTTTGAAAGAGAGCATCCAGACTGCCTGGGTGCTTTCTTTCGAAAAAGCGGCTTGCTTTTTCGAAAGTACTGCTTGCAGTCTAGACGCTCTTTTTCAAAAGAGGCTTTTTCGAAAATATCTTTTGAAAAAGCCTCTTTCGAAAGAGGCTTGCAGTCTAGACGTAGCCGTAGGGTATTTGGGTGGCTTTCACCAAGCAAGAACACACCATGGGGCATCCATGTGCTGATCAGGAGGCTTGGAAAGTTTATATCCACCATAGAGCTATTCATCCACTTAAGCTAAAGGAGTAACTGATAGCAGTAGTAGGTTGTCATCTTCTCTGTGAATCACCACAAGAGGGTGATGAGTCACTTTGCCAGTGGGTTTCATGAACATTGGCTAACTGCAGAAGGATGGTTAGACTGAGGAATCTTGGGTTCAGTTCCTGGCTCTGGAGGGAAGTGTGCTTTAGGTGGCACAGACACTTCTACCCATTGCCCTCAGGCGTGATCCTTTCTGCCCTTTTCCCTTCAACATGTCTCTGTCCTGTCTTGTCTCTTTCTCATCCTGACTCCTTGTCTCCATCCCATTCTCTTCACCTCCACAATCCCAGTCTCCATTCCCCATATTCCCCATCCTCCAACAGGGTGGGAGATGTATGTTTACTTCAAGAATTGGAACATTGCTCCAAAAGTTATCCCTTCAACTGGGCCACAACTTTTTCAGGTAGAACAAAGGAAGAGAAGAGACTTCTGACTGAAAATGCTGTTCATATTGGAGTACAAAGAGAGGCAGGCACAGAGGTAATAGCTGATCTTTATCTTGTTCACAGTTAATTAATGGAGAGAAGTGGCTCCTTACATCATTCCCATCGTTGAGGAACAGGGCCGGTCCTAACCAATTGGCAGCCCCAGGTGACTGCCTGGCTCACCTGTAGGGTTGCCAGATGGTTTAAAAAAAAATTGGATAAAAATTTGTCAAGCCAAAAAAAAAAAATGTCGGGGGAAGATTCAGGAGGTTGGGCTGAAGACTGACTCTGTTGGTAGCCCCTTAAAAATGGAGGCCTTAGGCAACTGCCCAGCGTGCCCGCCCCTAAGACCAGCTCTGTTGAGGAATATCAGAGGGGAGATTATGAAAACAATATTTGTTTTCACTTTCAAAACAGTCAGTTTCAAGGAGATAGTTAGTTAAGGTGGGACTCTCACAGGCTAAAGCAAAGTTTACTGTTCTCTTAAAGTATGCTCTGATGATATGATCAGGTGCAATAAGTGTGTGGAAATTTCCGTATGGCCATGGGGAAGTGAGGACTGGAGAAGTTATCAGACAAGGGTGTACTGCCAAAGATTAATGTTTTATGGGAACAATATTGGGTGACTCTTGGCTCTGGAAAAATAGAGATCACCACTTCATCAGAATAGAATCTGAAATATTAGAGCTAACTCAAACATTTATAATTCAAATTAAATGAAAGCAAGAGCATCTTATTATGGTCACGCTTTACATTGAGGTTATCCTTTCATACTGGAAGTGCTACTAAATACTGAAGATTTTAAAAAATGAAAACTTAAAATCAGACTTTTATGTCAATTTTAGGTGTCTATGGGTAAATCTACACAGTAGTTTGGGATATGTAATTCCCAGCTCACACAGAGATATATGGGCTAGCTCTGCAAAAGCTAGCACCTAAAAATAACAGTGTCACCCTTGCAGCACAAGTGATGATTTGGGCTAGTCACCTGAATGCAATTTGGCCTGACTTCTTGAGGTATATATATGGGTGCCTAGCCTCAGCCACCATCTGTGTTGACATGGCCATGCTGCTGTTTTGAAGTGTTAACTAGAGCAAAGGTAGCAAGAGTGTGTCTACCCAAGCTGGGGATTACATCTCTCAGCTGCCGTATGGATGCACACTGCAGTAAGAAGAGTGATTTAAAAAAAATGCTGAGTATCCCACAATCCAATTTATTTAGTAGGGGCCACCAAGTACTTTTGAAACTCAGACAATTGATTTAGGCACCACTTATTTATTTAAGGGATTTAGAAGCCTGAACTTAAGCAATTCTTAAAAATCTGGTTGACTGTTTAATCAGTCACTAGTTTTAAATTTTGCTCCTGCACATCATGTGGAAGAGACCTTTATGAAACTCCTGGAATAAATAAAAATGTACATGTATAAAAGGCAATATTTTAAAAAGTTTCTTTGTTCTACAAAGCCATGTAATTTTACCTCATGCAATAATCAGGAGTATTCCTAACTTACACATATCAATATGTATGGATTGCTAAATAATGCATGCATTTTTCCAGCAACACAGACCTCTTAAAACCAGTTTTTCTGTATTGACTATAAACACATTCAGTTTTACCAAAGTGACCTCCAGCTGGAACTCAAAGCAATGTATGTTTTGCTTCCATATCACTCTTCGAAGTATTAGCAAGCACAACAGAACCATTGTTGACAGAAAACAAAGTATGCAATATTAGTTTAAATAAAAACCATGACATCATATTTTGAGTTAACTGCATAAACTGAAACCTACCTAGTGATGTTTCATTGTTCTCTGGATTTTAAAGCATTCATCACTTGATCAGTCTAAAAAATCCAAGGGCCTGTTTCTCAACTGCTTTGCATTTTGTGCTGTCATTTATCCATGTGCAAAGTGAGAGTAAAATGCTACTAATTCTCAATGGAGCATTTTTACACCCATTTTGCAAAGGAGTATATGCATCTATATGGTGCAAAGCAGTGCAGTGTCAGACCCTTAGTATTTATAAGGCTGGGAGTTCACACACATTCCTAAATTAATAGATTTGAAGGCCAGAAGAGATCATTAAAACCATCTATGACCTTGTGTACAGCACAAGCCATAGGACTTCCCCAAAATAATTCTGCTCACACATATTTTAGAAAAACATCCAAATGCTTTGTCATTTGGGTGGGAGAGAGTGAGCTAACAAGAGCACACTGTTTACACATTCTATTTATTGGGCCAAATTATGCTGCCCTTAACTGAGCAAAATGTCTATTAACTTCCATGGGAGTTTGGCTTGATTAGTATCTGAATCAAAGCCCACTAAAGTCATTAGAAAGGCTGACATACTATACAGTGGGCTTTGGATTATGGCCCTAGGGCAAGAAAATTTTATCCTTGCAGAGTTAAAAAGCAATTAGCATGTGAGGAAGCTTATAAAGGTCTCTATCTGAGAATGTATGGTATGCCTTCTTGATAAGCATGTACATTGCTATGCATTATATTTAAATGCTTCTATAAGAGTAAATTTTGATCTTCGATGGGGTTTTACTCAAGTGGTTTAACAAAAATGAATACAAATATAGTAGCAAATAAGAAATACAGCTTTTTACATACACTTAAAATATGGGTGTTATTTAAAAATAACCAAACAAACTGGTCATCTTTATTTTTGGGGAGCAGTGGGGAGGGGAACTCTGTGGGTATGACCCTACAAACTCTCATTCACTCCAAATGCTCACAGATGAACTCTAGCAAATTAACCTACAATATATTGAGTTCACAAAGATATAGGAAAGCAACGTAAAGCAAATCCCCCTTATCTGTAGGTCACATGAAGATACAATTCAATTGTAATGTTACATATTCCTTCTGTTGAAATCATATAAATGTTTTAATAAAACAACGAGAAGTCCTGTGGTACCTTACAGACTAACAGATTTATTGGAGCATAAGCTCATAACTGACGAAGTGGGTCTTTGCACACGAAAGCTTATGCTCCAATAAATCTGTTAGTCTGTAAGGTGCCACAGGACTTCTCGATGTTTATGCAGATTCATACTAACACAGCAACCCCTCTGATACTCAATAAAACAAGTTAATTCTCAAATGTTGTAGGATTGTTGGAGAGAGTTAAGTAGAAATCTTTCTAATATCTAATCACAGCAGATTGGTATGGAAATACATTGACCATTCAATTTTATCCAAAATGCATGACTGACAAATGTCTGCTTATAAAAGTAACACTCAAGATACTGAACAGAAAGTATTACTAGCAGTAAAACATCCTGCAGATCATTGAGTGACCAAGTGAGAGCTTTTGATAGTGGTTAGTTACAAACCTCTTCAGCTTTAATAGCAAATATATTTTATTTTCCTTTTATGCCCCAAAAAAATCATATGGATACTAAATGGTGAATATTAGAAAAAACAAGAAAAAATCCTATTCTTTAGTCTGTAAAACATAAGTGTGCAGCTCCCCCACCTCCAGTAAAAGATATTTCCTTGGAATACAATATTCTATAAAACTTTTCTCTCAGATTACCGGGGGCAGGACAACTGGTTTGATATTATTTTTTGTTTCTGTATGTAACTTCCTTATCAAAATATCATGCCAAAATATGTCTAAAGCATGCAGTCTTGATTTTAAATATTTACAATCCAGTATTACATGGAGAGATTAAAAATCAATACCATAACTGTAAAGCAAAAGAAAATCACTTTCTAAAATTGTTTTTGAACAGATAATAGAAACAACTGCCAAGTGAAACCTGGGCCTGACCCTGACAACCTTTACTCATGGTAAGCCCTTCTCACATTAGTAAAGGTTTGCAAGATTTTGGTCCCGGTGAGAGTTAATTATTTTCATCTTTGTGGTGCCGTTATTAAAAACTGAGCACTGTACGGTACTTAATACAATTTTTTAAAAGTCTTACATATTCAGTGTCCATGTTTTACTTACAAATTGTGCATAAATATTAGTGTATGACAGTTTACAGACATTCTGCATTTCTGACTAAAAGAAGAACTGCTATTGGGTTACAAACTTCTAGGCTGGTTTAAAAAAAATCTGACAATTTAACGTAGAAATTCTCTTAATTTTTTAAAGTACAAAATGCATTGTAAATCCAGAGTGAACAATTAACCATCATCATAATACATATTGTATCTTACCTAAAAGTAGAAAATATATATTGCACTGCAAGTCACAAAATGTGTTGCTAAAGGGCTCCATGAAAGCATCCTGTCCCATGCAAATATCTTCTTTTCAGTGCTAAGTTAGTGCTTGGTCCAGCAGCTGCTGGCTTATTTGCCAGGGAAATTAGTAATGAGTTAACAGACTCTATCCTGCCTACTACCTTGTGTGATTTGAATATGTGTATACAAAGGACACAGGGAGTGGGAACACCTGTTAGCTTAGTAGGCAACATCTTCATTGCGTGTGAATCTATCATAATACTGCCTTGGTATATTCACAGCAAATATGAAGTGTGATAAATAGGATATAGCGTATGAATCACTCTGCTTTTGTAAAAATTAATGCGAGTAAAGTTTATATAGGTATTTATGCCATATATAGTTAGTTATAAAGCCAAAAAACCACTGACCTGCTACATACATATCTTAACTTCAGATAAGAACCTAGTAATCAGGAACGGAAACAATGTTAGACAATCCCATTAAGCCCCTTGCAATAGTAGGATCTACACTGCTCACTGTAATATGAGATATTAAACATCTGTTACAATGGATCTTATCCAAAAAAGCAATGAAAATTTTACACAAAGGAGTTAATATTGTAGTTAGCTCTATTGCAAAATGCCTTTTTCCTAACAAATGTTGGTTTCTAGTTATTTTTATATTTCCCTTAAAATATTACAGCATAATGCTTATTTTGGGATGACCTTATTCCCTGAGAGATTTTCTTTATCCCTGGGCCATGGATGTGTGAAGTTTTGGTAGGGTGTCTACGTGGTGTATTTTAATAAAAGAGTCCTCTGCCAAAAATGTAAATCTTATTCATACTGCAAAGTTAGCTGCCAGTCAATATTTTTTTCTTCATTAATTTAATGTGGTTTAAATTAATACTCATACGCAATCTGGATTTTATCCAAGAATGTCACTCATTGTATAAGTCTAATCAACCATAAACCAGGCAACTCCCTTTCTACCTCCTTCCATATGCAATAATTTCCAACAGCAAATATTTGCACCTATACAGATGGTTATAAAAATATTTAAGTTTTCATTAGCTAGCATTTAGATAGCGACATATAAATCTCTCAAATACTGGGCTGAATTGTTCCCTGTCTTGCGTGGGAGGGAATGGTTGCAAGGAGTCCTTTTTCACTTCACTTATACCTCTGAGCTGAGGTGAGGAACAATCCCTGTCTTTGTGTTCAGAGGGCTCAGTTGTGCTGAGCTACTCCTGGGGATAAACACTCTCAACTCTCCCTGAAGTTAATGGGAGTTAGCACTCCTCACCTTCAGGGGTGGTTCAACACCTTGTAGGGTCAGGGTCCAGGAGCACAAGAACTGCCTCAGGATAATGATTAGGCTGTCATAGTGTACCCAGAGAGGATGGAAGGAGGTACACATGGGCCATGGCTCTATCACCCTATTTACTGACCAGGAGAGAGAGAGAGAGAGAGAGAGAGAGCATATTCTGTCCCCACACAAAGCATGTAACAATGCCTGATCGTCGGCACAGTGTGGTGGCCATGTTTATTTAATGTCCCCACACAATGCATGTAACAATGCCTGATCCTCGGCACAGCGTGGCGGCCATGTTTATTTAATGAAGTGAGGATTATTTAAATCCCCGCTTCTTTGCCTATGCCGGGTAAACTAGTTTACATGGCTCCGTTGACGGAGCCATGTAGTCTAGACATACCCTAAAAGTCCAGGATGTCGGCAATCTGGCCTAGGACACGAGGCAGTGATGGGTGAGCTAGAATCAGAATAGTACTGAGGGCCAGGCCCAAAATCATCAAGTAAGAGTGAGAGTCAGAGTCAAGCTGGGTTCAGAGACTGAAGGTCAGAGAGCAAGGCAGCTCTGAGAGAAGCCAGGTCTACAGTTACAGCAAGCCAGAACTATTCATGGCTGCCCAGACAACTTCCTGGCCCATCCTCCAGGGTTAAATAGTAAATGTGGGCCAACCAGAGAGCCACAGGATACTATCACTCTTGCTCCGTTGGGTGGTGCTTTCACAGATGCCTAATCTCCACAGTGCTTCTTGGAGGTGATTCTGCCTGATCTCTTGGTGGTGATATGGGACCATCAGCTATCTTGGCTCTGAAGACCTGGGATCTAGTCCCAAAGATTCTTACATGACCTCCATCTTTCAGGGGTTCCCTTCTTAGGGGTAAACCCAGCTTATCTTGATGAAACCTTTTTACTAAGTACTGGGCATAGACATGGGCAGCAGATTCCCAAATATACTCTTTAGCAGCACAGCCCTCCCAATCTATAGGGTAGTAGAGTCTCCCTCTCTGTATTCTAAAATTGAGGACAGTCATGGACTACATATTCCTCCTGCCTTTGGACCTATGGGGCTGGGACTGGTGGGGAAGGAGATCCTCCATGTCAGTCTTCAAGAGGGATCCATGGAAAACAGGGTGTCCAACTTCATGCTCTCCGGGTAAAGGATATAACCCAAAAATTCTGTGGCACATTTCTTCAGTTTAACATATAAGCTGTTTTCCTGTAGTCTTTCCAGGCTGAAACTGATGTGATAGCAATGCTGCTTGGGGGTCTCTGAAAATACAAGTTTGTCACATTAGATGATTGTATATTGATTCAGGATGTCTATAAACATGTCATGTAGAAAGCGTTGAAAGATCACAGGAGTGTTGGTCAGACTGAATGACATTACTACGTATCCAGAGTAGTGCCGCAAAAGAGTAGTTGATTAGTCAACTACCGAATGACATTACTACGTATCCAAAGTAGTGCTGCAAATGAGTAGTCGATTAGTCAATTACTCAATAAGCATAGGCGATTGCTCACATTCCTCCCCCCACCATTGCTGCCTCTGATATAAATGCGGGAAGGGGGGGACAGGAGCTGGTGCTGCCGGGAGGCAGCTTAAAAGCCGGTTCCTCCCAGTGCCATCTCCGTGGTACTGTTTGTCCTTCCCTGTACTGCTGCCTCTATCAGGCTATGTCTACACTACAGAGGGGTTTTTTTTCGGAACAAAAGGTTATTTTCTTCCAAAAAAACTTCGCTTACGTCTACACTGCAATCACGTTCTTTAAAAAAAAAATCAAAAGAACAGAGGTTTTTTTCCAACATTGGTAAACCTCTTTCTATGAGAGAGAAGCTTTTTCTGAAAGCTCTTTCAGAAAAAGGTGTGTATGGATGGGGAAGAGGGAGTTCTTTCAAAAGAAGAGCAAAGAGAAAAAAGCACAGGTACCCTGGTGGCCATTCCACCCATAGTAATCACAGCTTAAATGTGAAATAGTGTCCATTCAGTGTGGACACTATCTTTCGAAAAAGCAGATCACTTTTTCTTTGCGCTTTAGCAGTGTGGACGCTCTATTTTGGAAGAAGTTTTTTCAGAAGATCTCTTCCAGAAAAGCTTCTTCTGAAAGAAGCCTGCACTTTAGACATAGCTTCAGAGGCTGCAGTGGGGGCTGGGAAGGTGTCAGGGAGGCTGTATCAGCAGCAGCCCCTGTCCGTGGGGATCCCAGTGGGAAATTGGGACTCCCCGCAGACAGGGGCTGCTGCTGCGAAGCAGACCCTGTCTGTGGTGCTTCAGCAGCAGTCCCTGTCTGCGGCCAGCCCCGGCCACCGTGAACAGAGACTGTTTCAGCATCAGCCCCTGTGCATGGTGGCCTGGGGTGGCAATGAACAGAGGCTGCTCTTTATCAGCCTCTATTCGCGTGGGGTTCCAGCACTTTGTGTGAGCCTGGACTAAGCCAACCCAGCTCAGTCCTGGCTCGTGATGGGTCCAGGAGCCACCCCCCTGAGGCTCTGGGGACTGAGCCAACCCAGTTCAGTCTTGGCTCGTGATGGGTCCAGGAGCCACCCCCCTGAGGCTCTGCAATTTAAATGCAGTAGGAACTGGGCTGGACTAATGAATAATTTGTTGGCTTGGGTAGCTTCAGTATCTATGAAATGATAGGTGGCACTGATATCTGGCCCTACTGACGGAAATCGATTTGGCTCCATTCATGAGGACAGGGGACTGGGCTCGATGACCTCTCGAGGTCCCTTCCAGTCCTAGTATTCTATGATTCTATGGCATGTAGCAATGTAGCAGAATTTGTACTTATGGGCTGGATATATAATACTCATGTTATTAATGTATTAGTGCAAAGCACAAGCATCCTATGGAAATAAAAAGTGTAAACTAAAAACATACAGATATTTTTTCTGTGTGGACTTTCATTGCACACCGATGGCCTGATAGTGTTTGTGCTTAATACAAAAAGATAAATGTTATTTTAGTAATAATCATGTGTGTGTGGTGGCCCAGTTTTAGTGAGTATTAATTATTGTATTGTACATAGATAGATCATGTTGCTGTTTGCTAAAATTTGTTTGAGGATGATTTCCACAACAAATAAGTAAGGACCATTGTTTTTTACTCCACTAAAGGATGTAGAAAGTCACCAAAACAATTACAATCTGGCCTGGGACATTATTATATGGTTTCCCTTATTTTCCACACATTTTACAGATGACCCTCCTCCACAGATGTACATATCCCATTTTACTGTGATAAGGTGAAGAGTGTGATAAGACAATGATAAAACTTCAGTGCATACCAGAGTATAGAAAATATCTGTTTCAAAACAAAGCTGGCATTTCTTTTGTTGCTCTAAGACAATGCAAGTCTCTTTTTGTTTTGGTTCAAGGTTGCATCACATTGTGATTTGAATTTAGCAGTAACTGCACTGCAGCAATGACTGCTTAGAAGCACCTCAAGCAGCCAGAAATTTTTTTAGAATTTGCAGTTAATTAATATTTTCTTGCTACTGTGTGGAATAGTCATTTCATTATACTATCTCTTCAAATGGCTATAACTGAAGTCTGAACATTAATCCTACATGGAAACTTGCTCTGCAATAGATCAAAAACAATTTCTACAAAAATTTAAAATTCAGAAGCTAGCTTTTGGCTTATTGAGCAACTAGCCAGTAATAAACAGCTAAGAAGTCAGGGAACACGTACAATATATGACAGAAGATTTACCAATATGGATTGACTTTTTGGCCAAGCATGTTTATATATAATAAACTGGCAAAATTATTATCACATCAAAGTCCTTATTTTTGTTTAAAGACAACTCAGTGTTATTGAATTGTGCTGGATTGATTGCCTGGAAGCAGATATTCTTTATCCAGACTAGTTATAGCATGGATAATGGAGCTGTCTTGCCATTATGCCTGCACCCTTAGGCTAGG